TGATACTGTAAGGGGGAAAATGTAAGCTAAATAATTCACCTTTGTTTCAGGATCCTTTCTGTGGTTTAGCTGTAGTGTTAAGAGATTGGGGATCTAAAGCTCTTTCTCAAAAGTGTTCTTTTTTTTTATGTTCATTAGGAGTAAGGTGTGAAAAGTAAATATGCTTTAGCTGACGTGGGAAGAATATTCAAATATTAATTCCTTCAGGAGCACACAGAATGAGATTTCTCGTTGCTTTACTCCTTGTGACAGCCAATGACTTTATAATGGTACAGAAGAGGACTTGGAACTCTGTCTCAAAGGGTCTTTGAAGCCCTCAGATCCTGGGTAACATGTGTAGGCTGTGAACTGAAGATTATAATCCTCTGCTGCCAGACTGTTAGCATGAACTGTTAAATGTGCGGAAACCTCAGCAGAGGTTCAGTAAGTAGTAGGTGGTTTTCTCATTAGAACTGGTGATAATTAGCATCAACCAAAGATGTTCTGTCAGACACTGTGATACATGAGGTATTGTGTTAGGTGATTTTGAGACAGCTTTAAAATATAGTTCTGGGATTAAGTAGCTTGTTCATAATTAGAGAAATCTTTGGTTAAAAAAGAATAACACAATAATATAATAGATGAGTGATAAATGATATGAAGATAAAATAGTTCATGAATTTGTGGAATGCCCAGGAGGAAGCTGGACTTTGAATATAGGCACACAGAGACAGGCAGAAAGCGTAAATGGCCTTTCCCAATGGCAGTCTTCACTTCCCTCCTACCTTATTTCTCCCTCCTTTCCTGCATCCTTCCCTATGTAACACAGCATTGAGATTAAGAAAGATGGTAGATTCACCTTGCTGCTTCCTATTTACCCATGAGCCTTTAACCCCCTAAGTCTGATTCTTCATCTCTGCCATGGGTATGAGAATGTAAAGGAGGGGGTCAGGGCTCTCTAAACATCCCAATACAAGATCAAATGGGCAAAAATCCTTCCAACACAGCAGTACCCATAGTCAGTGTTGATTACTCATCAAAGCAGTCCCTACTCAAATATCCCTCCATGTTTAAACCTAGTGTTGGTTACTTCCAGTTGCTTGAACTGTTCTGACTATCTAATATTGTCAGTTTTGACAACACAATGCAAATAAAAGTCTTAAAGGATTGCAGAATTTCCTGCAATCCGACAGTGTTTTTGAAGACTTGCTAAAAGCAACTTCATATCCACTCGTTGTGCATGAGGGTGAACTCTTTACAGCATGCTGCCTCTCGGGAGCAGTCTGAGCACTCTCCCTGTGCTCATTTCTACTCCTTATTGTAATCTAAACTTACAGCTTCCGCCCTGCGTCCCAGACCAGGCAAGGAGACAAGCACAGTGTCCAGCTGTGAACTCCATGTGGCCTGTCACTGTGTCCCTCTGCCTCCAGCTGGATTCCTGGTGATTCACCAGCAGCAAGAATCAAGATGGAGGGGACTGTGTACCTCAGAAGACAAATTCCCGAAGGAGAAAGAAAGCTCTTGGGAAAAGCTGATAAAAAGCGGTCAGTGAGGCAGTGTAGATAGTTTTGAGGTCGTAGCCTCTGGGGTCAGCCTACTTGACCTTCTCTTCTTGATATAAGAAATGATACAGGACCTCTAAATGGCATGGAGCCAGAGATATAGCTCAGTGGCATAAGCACCTGCCTGGCAAGAGCAAGGTCCTGAGTTTGATTCCTCGCACACGAAAAAAACCAAAAAAACCTAAATAATATAGAGGGGAAATAATATAACTTCCAAGCTATAGATGTCTGATTACACTGATATCATGTTCCTCCAAGTCGAAGAAAGAATTCCAAGGAACAAAGGGGGTTAAGAGTAGGAAATATTTATTGAGGGAAAGATAGCTTCTGCCTAAGAAAGACAAAAGGAGGACCGAAAAGTGGGTTGCCAAGGACCCCACTTTTCAGGGGAAGTTTTATAGAGGACAACCACATGGGTCAAAGCTATGATCAAGCAATAAGATTATAAGTATAGCCAGGTGTGGTGGCACATGCTTGTAATCCCAGCACTCGGGAGGCTGAGGCAAAATTGTGTGAGTTCGAGACCAGCCTGAAAAAAAGTGAGCTCAAAGCCAGCCTGAACTGCTCATCGAGACCCTGTCTCAAAAAAAAAAAAAAAAAAAAAAAAAAAACAAAGAAACATTATAAGTATAGCCACCTAGGTAGTATTGATCCAGTGGGCAAGCAAGTCATGTAACAAGTGTACATGGAAAGAACAAAGAACTTTTCAGGAAAGGATGTGTCCAAGGGTCTTGGTCACTCACCGAGGTGACTGATGTTGATGTAGACGTATTGGACCAGCTGTTATTAGACCACTTATCATAGGCCTGGTCATCTTGTCTTTATCTTGAGGCCTGGCCCCCAACAGGTGTGCCTCTAGCCGCAGCTGTAGTAAGTTTTCATCTTTACATTGATTTGCTCGAGGGTCCAGTCTTATTTGACTGTGTATAATATTGCTACCTAACTCAGCTGTCCATAATATGCTCCTTAACCACGTGATCTACGTCACGTCACTCATGTCTCTGTGCCTCAGTTTTCTATAAAAGGGCACACATACAGATTTTATTGTGGGTTTTGTAATTAAATGCCTTTAACCTCACCTGACAGGTAGACTGTGAACAATGCAAACTAATGTTTGAAAAAAGATGATCCTCTTAAAAATCATGTTCGATCTTCCAAAATTCAGGTGTGAGGAATATCATTCTCCTCTTGTGTGTGGATAATTTATTCTTAAAAAGCTGCATGAACTTGTTGTTTTGTTTTTCTGATTATTAGCACATAGTTGCTGGTACAGCTATGTTCTAGTGCAAGCATAACAATATCTTCATAAAAGATGAAGTAAATTTATTTTTATTTGTTAAGGTAAAATCTGAGTGACAACCCTCCCCACCACCACAGACACCCTATTTTGAAATTTCTATCACTGTTCAAATGGATTCGTTTTGTCACCATATTTTTCTCAGCACTAGTTCTGTGATGATGAAGACTTGTGTTTTGTGATTTTTGTGAGGACTGAATGAAATGCACGTAAAGAACAAGGCATATCGTGGGCACTCAGTATGTTAGTGACTCTTCTCTTACTTTGTTTTTATTTCCATTGGGCAGGAATTGCATGAGGAAAGTGCAGACATGAGCTGTTCTGTTCTGTGGATATTCGGCACTGAGCCTGAACCAGAGCCCGCAGAGCAGGCACAAGATACCACGGAGCATTAGTGCTCTCCCATCCGCTTCCCTCCCACCCAATCTCTTTCTTTCCCTTCTCTGTCTCAGCTAACTCTCTAGTGGAGGAGTCAGAGGCAAAAGCAGATCAATAAGTACACTGTGCCTCCTGAGTGCTGTAATGGAAACAGGACTTCCATGCAGTTGTAGAGGGAACCTTTTTGTTTTGTTTTGTTTTGTTTTGTTTTGCTTGGGGAAGTTCACGGTTCTCACTAAGGTACAACTCTAGCTAGAGGCTGAGCCAGCCTGGCTCGGAGGAATGAGATCTCATGGAAAGTGCAATCACTGTGCAGGTGCCCAGTGAGGATCGGGGACATTGTCCCTGAGTCATAGGAGCCTTGAAGATTTTTGGTTTTGTTTTTTGTTTGTTTTGAAGTGCACGGTTATCGGGGTCTGGTTTATATACCGGGAACTTGCCCTCTGAGAGTGTACAGTTTGATGAATTTTGACAGATGTTTATACTTCTGTAGCCATTATCATCATCAGGGTGCTGAATTTCTTATCACCTGGGAAGTCCCCTACGTCCCTTTACAGCCAGACCTTTTCCTCAGTCTCTGGGGACCCCTGCTCCACATCTGTCCCTGTACTTTCTTTGACAGACTGCCTTAGGAATCAGATATGGGTCCTTCAGGACTGGCTATGTCACTTAACAATGATTTTGAGGTTTATCCGTGGTGTGGGAGTGCTCGTAGTTAGTTTCTGGAAGGTTAGAAACATAAAGGATGCCAGGACACTTAGGAAGAAGACTCTACTAGCTGTGGTTCCTGAGATGGATTCAAGAGGAAAGAAGGGCAGCCTCCAGCTGCCTTGGGGAACTGAAGGGACACTCCCCATGCTTCCAGGCAGAGGGCGTCAGCCAGGAGAGAGCAACGGAGGGGCAGGGAAGGATGGAGGGCAGGGTGCAGGTGGCGGTTGAAAGCACATTGGTTGTAGCTGTGGTCTGGAGAGCTGGGGACAAACCTGGCCTGAGCATCCCTCCTGGAAGTTGGGAGATAGCCAGGATTGGGGGCGGGGAATCCAGCAACTGGTTGGTGTTCTCTGGAGTTTTTACCTTTTCCTGTATTTTGAACTTGAGTAATGCAATTATACCTTATAAATGATCTTTATGAGTTTAAAAATCCATGAACATTTTGCACATTCATAATGTCTGATGATAAATGAATTATGGTTATAGATCATGCATTTGTGATATTCTCCAATATATTCAGTAGGAAAGATGCTCCGTTGGGTTAGGAAAGAATTTCCTGGAAGAAAACAGTGTGTTTTTTACAGCAGGTAAACTTTCACAGACTTTTGATCCAACACGTGATATTTCAGTAAAAGTCCCTAGAAATTGTTTACTTCTCATAAAGAGAAATACAAAATGCTGAGCTGTATCATGCTTGTTGATTTTCTTAAAACATTGTAACTCAGGCACAGAAAACCCCTTAGGGACCATGGCACATATACTGTAGGTTAGATAAAATACTACACATATGCTGTAGTTTTTTGAGGCAGTATATTTTCAGTCAGATAAAACTCAGAGTGACCTGTTTCATATTTAAAAAACAAATGGATAAAGGACTGAGGATTTAGCTTAGTTGTAGAACATTTCTTGGGCTTTTATTCCTAATACTGGAAAAAAGAAAATAAAATAAGATAGATACAAGGTCATTCTTATTTCGTGCAGAAACTACAGTGTGATTGCATTTTAGATGCCATCAAAAAATTGTGACTGAAAAATCAGAATGTGAAAATGCCCCATCTTTGGTTTCCCTTTAGTTTTATTGCTGGAGAAGATAGAACATGATGATGTGTACAATAAGACACTGAAGATTACGGACTTCGGGCTGGCGAGGGAGTGGCACAGGACTACCAAGATGAGCGCGGCCGGCACCTATGCCTGGATGGCCCCTGAGGTCATCAGGTCTTCCCTGTTCTCCAAGGGGAGTGACATCTGGAGGTGAGCACACATCTTTGCATTGCACCGTCTTTGGTCACAAGCTGGGACTCTTCTAGGGCCGTTGGCAAACTCTGATTCCTTGGAATTCACCAACAACATTAGCATGGAGGGAATTTGAGGAAAACATTTAGAGTGATCCTTTCATTTTATAGATCGTTCCACCTAAAGATGGAAGACTCCTGTGGCAAGGGGAGTGCCGCAGCCAGCCGGAACGCCAGGCTGTCTTCTGTTCTGCTTTGCTCATTGGGAAGACAGGGACAGAACAGCGCCAACAATGACAGAACAGCAAAGAGAAATCACACCCTGCGTAGTTAAAGTGCCCCACAGGCTTAACTGCCTTTATTTAATGTTCCTATGTGGCACATATAAAATCCTATATGGCACATATTAAAATTCCATGTTTTCTCTGTGTTTTTAACAGCTCTATGAAGATACCATTCAATTACAATTCACTCTTTTAAATTGTATAGTTTCTGTGGCAGTGTATTGCTAAGGTTGTATGTACATCCATCACCTCTGTGGACTTGAGAGCATTTTCATTGTCCCACAAGGAAGCCCTGTTCCCATTACTTCTCTGCCAGTTCCCTGCTTTCTTTGCCTCAAGCAGCCATCAGGCTGTACTCTGTGTCTTCGGCTCTGTTTCTTCTGCCAATTTCATATAGATGGAGTCTTCTAGTACCTGTGCCTTTGTCCTGGCTTCTTTCACTGAGCATAATGTTGAGAGATCATCTAGGCTACAGCTTGTATCAAAACTTCATTCCATTTTCTGGCTAATATTCCACTTATAGCTAGACCACATTGTGCTTACCCATTCTTCTGTTGATGAATGTTTGGACAGCTTGCGCCTTTTGCTTCCTGTGAATGGTGCTGCCACAGACATTCATGAGGAAGTTTTTTGAGGCAGTATATTTTCATTTCTCTTGGAGTTATCCCTGAGAGTAATGAAATCACTGGGCTGTACAACAACTGTGGGTTAAACCATTGCGGGCAGCCTAGACTGTTTTCCACAGAAGTGGCACCATTTTTCATTCTTGCTCCTAGTGCATGAGAGCTCTGATTCGCCACATCCTCCCCAACCTTTGCTGTTATCTGACTTTTTGATTCTGGAGAGCCCTGTAGGTATTTTATTATGCGGTATTTATTATGGTTAATATTTCAGTCACCCCTTGGAGTGCTGCACTGTGGATACTGCGCTGCAGCGTGAGGCCCAGCCCCGTCGTTTGAACAGGACACTCCCAGCCCATTTCACATGTGGGAACTTTGCTTTGCAGCTATGGCGTTCTGCTGTGGGAGCTGCTCACGGGAGAGGTCCCCTACCGCGGCATCGACGGTCTGGCGGTGGCCTATGGGGTGGCAGTCAACAAGCTCACTCTGCCCATCCCATCTACCTGCCCTGAGCCATTTGCCAAGCTCATGAAAGGTATCTGTGCAGCCCTCACTGGCCTGTGTGCAAGGAAAGTCACTTCAGAGAGCATCTGCTTGTTTTTAACCTAGAGGCAATGCTTGTGATTATCATTTTCAGTTGTTTCTAAGTTATTATACTGTTTTAAAAGTTAGAGACCTCATCTGTTGATACAGTTTTGGTGACTTGAGTAAGTGAAAGCCATCCATTTTTATCAGTGGTGCTCATTTCTGTGCAGGACTCGAGTGAATGGCAGTGACGCTTTCATGCCGCTCTCAGTAGGGGAGAGGAGGACAGCACAGTCCTGAGCTGGGTGCAGATTGGCTGTGTTACATTCTACCTGATGAGCAGAAGAGTTGTACAGGCTTTTTAAAAAATTGCTAACTCTTTGTGAGCACCAAGTTAACTTCATTATCAGGCTATTTCCTAGAACTCCTCTGGTGATTATTATCATATTTTAGAGACCTTGGTTTTATGGGTTGAATTTTACATATATGTAATTCTGCATCAGTAAATTTCTTAGCCATAGCAGCTTAGGTCTCTGAAGCATACAGTTCATGGTAAAGCCCAGAAAGCAGATGTCTATGTTTTCACTGTGATGTAATACAGACAATAGCAGCCTTGCAATGAATAATTACCATGCATGCTGCACTGAGTAATTACTAGACACTGAGTAATGTAAAGGATGCAAAAGCATCATCCATATTTCTTTAGACCATTTAGGAGCAGCCACTGAAGATGTGAACTTTGGGTTTACAGTGACAGATGTTAAACTGATAAACAGTTTAGAATAAAGCCTGCCTTAAAAGCCCTGCTATCTTAGAGGTCGTTGGGACCATGCTAACAGGTGAACTACTGTTGATTCTTGTTTCTCCAGAGTGCTGGGAACAAGACCCTCATATTCGCCCATCCTTTGCCTCAATTCTGCAACAGCTGTCTGATATTGAGGTGGCTGTGATGACCGAAATGCCTCAAGAGTCTTTCCATTCCATGCAAGATGACTGGAAGCTGGAAATCCAACAAATGTTTGATGAGCTGAGAACAAAGGAAAAGGTGAGATAAATATTTAATTGTATTCTGTATTCACATCTTTAAAAATTATATATAAAATGAGGTGCTGCTAGTTAGCATTATTCTGCAGTACTTTCAGACATCAGTATTTATTGGCTTGCTTTCTTTCTGTTTAAAAATAAAAACATTACAAAAGTGTACTGAATATATATATTTGGAGGAAAACTTATTTGGGAAACTTTTCAGTGTAAAATTAAGAGAGAATAGCATAATAAACTCTTTGTATACATTACATACAGTAATTGTCAGGTTTTTGAAATCATTTTGTGCATTTCTCTTCCTCATTATCACTTTTAACACTGGCAGGTTTAAAACCAAATCCTAGATTTATGTTATTTTACCCATAAGTATTGCAGTATGCATCTTTACCTGACAAGCATTTTTAAATATAACTTCCTTACCTTTGTTATCTAAAAAATTAACAGCAATTCTTTAATGTCGCATTTGTTCCACATCAGATGTGACAGAGATGTCTTTTCACTGTTTGTGTGAATCAGAGCTGTACAAGGCCTACGTGTTGTTTTGGGGTGTGTTTTACAGCTTCTTTGATGGTGTCTCTCCATAATTCACATCTCTTATTTCCAGGACTGTTGTTTTGTTGGAAAAACCAGGAAAGTATAAAAAATTTTGACCTCAATGTTTTGTGTTAAGTTGTGCTTGTCTTTTAAAAGGGGAGAAATAAGCCCAAAAGTTAAACATTTAGGGACTGCAATTATATCACAGCCTGTAAAGTCAAAGTGCAACTGGAAGACAGGCTGTTGGGGAGTGAGTTGGATTAGCATGGTGTCTTGAAGGGTGACAAATGCTATGAAAGGGCACTGAAGAACTCCAAATTCAAGGATGCTTTCAGGATTCAGTAGCAGTATTTGTATTAAAGACATTTTTTTTTGTGGTAATTTAACATTTTGATGAGTCAGGGTTTATTTTTGTCTGAAGTGTATAAATTGTCTACTAGTTTCAGTCTTTCTATGGAACCTGTAACATGTTTATGCATAGACATTCATAACATGTTATGTAAAAATACAACATTGTAAGTTACTGATAATCTTTATAAAGTTATATCCAGGAAGGAATTTCATACTTTATAGGGCTTTCAGGTAGATAAGGGGGGAAGTACAAGATGTGATCAAAATATATGGTGAAGGTTTAAATTAAAAAATGATGAAAGGAAAAGACACATTGCCATTCATCCACCTGAGAATTCTCCCTGTCAATTCAGACATACTTAACCCATTATTCTTGCACTTTCTGAAGCAGTTCTGGAAGTTCTCTTTCTGGAATGTCTATTTATAGTTGCTTTGATGTCCTGAATCCATTTAAAATGTTTAAGGTTCTATCAAATAAAAACATTACAGTGTGTCCGCATCTACTATATTCACCAGATCTGGGACTGTGACTTCTGGCGCTTTTTCAAAGTCAAAATGACTGTGAAAGGTTAATATTTTGAACTGACTCAGGATTTTGAGACAGTTACAACAGCATAATCAAAAACACTCAAAAGAGGACTTCCAGAACTGCTTCAGAAGGTGGCAAGAATAAGAGGAGAAGTGTGCTCAAAGTAAAAAGGATTAATGGGAATTCGCTTTTACTATAATTTTTAAAGTATGAATATTCACTACTATAGTTTTTTTTATCATACTTCACATGTTGCCTATTGCCCCAGTGTTCAGAAGTAGCACTGGGATGAACGCCTGGGAACTGAAGTCTGGTCTCAGATGGATGCCTTTGGGACAGGCAATTTCATGGTTGTCAGCTTCCCCTTGGAAATGAAGGCAAAGGCCGAACAGGTCACCTACAAGGAACACACATTGGCATCTGTAGCTCTCTGCAGTCATGGCAAAGACCCAGAGCTCTGAGCCACACATCCTGGCCACACTGGGGCTCAGCTGTGAGTTGCCGTTTTGTCTTGGGCTAAGTATCCCTCTCTGTGTTCTGTGTCAGTCACTGGACTGTCACAGGAAGCCTTTCTCCCGAAGGTGGGAGGCTCAGGTCAGCTTTGCATGCAGAGTGTCCAGTGTGTACTCTGCATAATAAGTGCTAAGTAGGTGTTGGCCTCACGAGAAAGAAAGTGGCCTTAGCTGACCCAGGTAGTGCCGACTTCCTGCCCCACCCACCCCTCGCCCAGGCACTGGGCACCAGAGGAGGAGGAGAAATAACAGAGGGAGAAGGGCCAGAGGTTTGCCTCACCCTGCAGTTCCCTGCGAGGTCATCCCCAGGCTTTGTGGCAACTCTCATACATTGTGGTGACTTCAAGTGATAAAGAAAGAATGATTTTGTTTTTATACTTCTCCAAATTATTTTTAGGGTTTCTAAAATTAGATATTTAATCACAAAAATAATGATTTTAGAAAAATAGTAGAAAAAGATTTTGAGGGGGAAAAATGCTTCAAGTCACAGCATTTAAGTTTGGAAGTAGGATTACTGACAATAACTTGTTTTAATCTATTTAATTAATTTTTTTTTTTTTTTTGCGGTACCGGGGATTGAACTCATGACCTCGCACTCTCCAGGCAGGTGCTTATGCCACTGAGCTATATCCCCAGCCCAATCTATTTAATTATTAATAATTATTTTTGAAACTGCAGAATAAAGGTGTGTTGAGTAATTCTCATTATATGTAGTATAAGAATGCAAAGGTGCTTTCAAAATCCACGTCAGCCCCCTCTCTGTTTGGAGGTGGATAGTAGTCTCTTTGTTATTCTTCTGGCTGATTTTTCAGTGGTGTCTGTTTTTTTCTTTTTCTCTGATTCTTACACATCACTCCCTGAGATACAGCACTTACACTATCTTGTAAGCTTTTTGATTTCAGACTGAAGAATGTATAGTGTTTTTTTTTGCTTAGAGGTCTCTAACTGCATCTTTCTGATGAAGTAACAGCCCAGCGTGCGTGCCCTATCTCCCTTTCTTGTTCACTGATTGCCTTACGTAGGAGGTGGCATACTTGGGATTCACGGTCAGTAACTTGGCTGAGGCTTGTGTTATTCAGTCCAGGGCAGCCTCCCTAGAGACCCAATCCTCCCTAAATTCCTGCTTCTTATCTCTGTGTGTCTGTCCTGGTGCCTCCTGCGCCGCACCTGTCTTGGCTGTTGTCTGAAGGAAAGCATGTGGTCATTAATGATTAACCTCCACAGCCAGGAATCTGGATCGGCATTACCCGAATTACTCGAATTGTGTGCCAAGCAATTAAGCAAATATTCATATTAGTAATCTCAGCAACAGAAGGCACTTTTCATGTGTGCTTCATGATTTCGAGGTATTCAGAAGGGTACTACCACCCCAGACCCTTTTTCCTTTTCCTTTTGGATTTTAAAATTCATTCACTAGGAAGATTACTTAGGTGCCTTTCTCTTTGTTCATACTTTTTGTCCTATAAAGTCTTAGGAAAGTAGTTTTGTTTGTTTTATTCATGAAGTTGTTGGAAGGAGATGCATATTTTGCGCTGGGACACGGAATTAAAACTGGTTCCTGCAGTTGTAACATAAAACTCCCGACTGAATGTGTTGCCCGTCTCTCACCCTCATGCCGTCTCATTTAACAACAGTGAGTTGGATGGGTATCAACACCGCTGAAAAGTAATGTCTTAATACAAACGTGCCCATAACAAGTTAGAAATTCTGAGTTGGCTGGAAATCGTCTTTTGTTCTCACATTTGCCACAGTAAAACCTCAAGTTTGCTAAACTACTGTATTTGGAGAAGGTCAGTGAAAAGATGGGTTAGCAACCAGGAGCCTTGATGCACACCTATAGCCCCAGCTCCTTGAGAAACTGGAGCGGAAGGATTGCAAGTTTAAGCCTCACATGAGCAATTCAGTGAGACTCTGCCTCAAAATAAAATAAAAAGGGCTGAGGACGTAGTTCAGGGGATAGAGCATCCAGGTTCAATTCCTAGTACTAGAAAAAATGCACAGAAAAATTTAAAAATACGTAATTTTTCAAGTAATAGCAATTTATATCTGACACGATGTAATGAAGAAATAACTGATCTGCTATGTAATAAGAATTAGCCGATCTATATAAGCAGAAGCAATTGGTAACCTCAAAGATAACATTTCCCTGCAATTTTGTTGATGCAGTATATTTAGAGAAAATAAAGCTGGAGAGCATTTGAAAGCAGAATCTCAGTCTACTTTGGTAGAGGCACTATCAATTCAGGATTAGTTCCATCCCAGTGAATACATTTCTTTGCTATTTGAACTCCCCATCTTTCTTTCTTCTTTCTTTCTTTAATAGTGGTGCTGGAGATCAAACTCGGGGCCTCACACATGCTAGGCGAGCGCTTTACCACTGAGCTGCAGCCACTGCTGCCAGTTTCTTTTTGACCTTCCTGTTTATGGGAGGGTGGTCGTCTGTGTTTACTTTATGATAGTTGTACTGTCAGACTTGAATTATTCTTTGGATCCATCTGTAAAAAGCCCAAGAGGTAGCAAAAACTACTGGTGTTTTATCCCTGGCTAGCTCTGGCTTCTCAAAGGGTGCAAGTGGAGGGCAGTAGACCCGAAATGCTATGCTCTCTCCTGCTGGAACAACTTGCCGGTGTGACTCTGTCACAGGAGCTGCGGTCCCGAGAAGAGGAGCTGAGCCGCGCTGCTCTCCAGCAGAAGTCCCAGGAGGAGCTGCTCCGACGCAGGGAGCAGCAGCTGGCCGAGCGCGAGATCGACGTGCTGGAGCGCGAGCTCAACATCCTCATCTTCCAGCTCAACCAGGAGGGGCCGCACGTGAGGAAGAGGAAGGGCAAGTTCCGGAGAAGCCGGCTGAAGCTCAAGGACGGACATCGGATCAGTTTGCCTTCAGGTAGGAGCTGCTTTCACATCTTGTAAAGATTTTGCATGTCAGACACTACTGAGGTTTGTTTCGACAGACTGGGGAAAAGTTGGGGCAGTAGGGTTTTTAAACAGTGCATGGAGTAAATGTGTTCAGTTGCTGGCTCACCCTGGCCCTGACATGCCGCCCTAAGGAGTTCCGTGCGTCCAGCGATGTAAGAACATTGCGGGTCTCTGCGTTCCAGCGCTAGCAATCCCCGTGCATGCCTTGCGTTGCGCTGTTTGAGATGTTCCTTCTAAACTTGAAGTAGAACTTTTTCTCTGGTTGCACAGAGCCGATCCTATGTGGCATCGTGCTTTACCATCACAGTTACCATTTTCCAAGAATCTGTGTTAATGATCCTGCGGTGTCTGAGTTTGTTTGGGATGTGGTGTTGTCACACCCGACTAAATACAATTTCGTAGCATTCATGAGGTCCTGAGTTCACTCCTGCCTTTCTTCCCAAAAGTTCCTGGACTTGATAGCTTGAGTTGAACATACTTGCCTTGTTTTTGCCAGACGTTTTTTTATTCCTTGGGTGTACTATTTGACATTTCTTTTCCTGAAAAAAGGTGATGTTTTTTGTTACATATTTATTTACTTTGAGGCACTTAATAAAAGATCACAGTTAAAACATAACCAAAAAAATTTAATACTCAATACTGTCCATCATGAAAGAATGAAGTCCCTTCTGGAATTTAAGAAGGCAGTTACCACTGCATCCCACAAGATGGCGCTGCATTACTAGAACCTGGGGACCAACGGGATAGCCTTTTTCCTTGAAGTCCTCCAGTTTACTGCAGACAGGTACACACCACGAGCTTACTGACACACACACACACACACACACACACACACACTCTCTCTCTCTCTCTCTCTCTCTCTCTC